TAGAAGTCCCCGCACAGGATCTTCACCGCCATGCGCCCCCACGTCTCCTGCGGGCGCATGTACTTCGTGGGGTCGAGGTTGTAGCGCAACGCCCTGCCGTAGGTCGTGCGCAGTGCATCGGCATGCAGCAGGGGCCCCGGCACAGCACCCAGCTCATCGATCACGTCGACGCCGAGTGCGCCTGTGAGGCGGTCCAACTTCTTCTGCGTCTGCGAGGTCAAGCGCAGCCTGGCGGTCTGCAGGGAGTCCGCCATGAGCAGCCCGTTGGAGGAGTGAGTCTTGAAGTTCTTCCCGATCATCATGCTCTGCTCGAACCCGAAGTTAAAGGAAGCGACCGTGAAAGACGCAGGCTGAGGAGCACCGCGAGCAGGCGCGGCCGCAGGCGCGTGTCGGTCTTCCTCCGCAGGCTGATAAGCACCACGAGAAGCCGAGGCTGCGGACCGGCCTCGCGGCCAGGGGAGGGCCATTGCAATGTAGACCGCGGAGGAACGGCCGGTTCCGTCGGAAAGATTGCAATGTGGGAGGCACGTCCTGAACCAAAGACGGCTGTCAAGACAATGTAGACCGCGGAGGAACGGCCGGTTCCGTCGGAAAGATTGCAATGTGGGAGGCACGTCCTGAACCAAAGACGGCTGTCAAGAATGTGGCCCGGGAATGGAATCGTGGGTGGCGTACAGTTGGCTCCGGGCATTCAGAATGTGGCCCGGGAATGGAGTTCTGGGAGGTCGAAGAGCACGAAGTGTGTGACTGTTTGCAAAAAACGAGGTTCCGCGGATCCCCCCCGGAAATCCCCAACGGCTCCCCAACGGCTGCCCAGACCCCCCTGTGGAGTAATGTGCTGCTCTCTTTTTAGCGGATTAGAAACCTATCAGTCTTCGATGTTAAGTAAAAAAGGAATGTTCAACTTGGAACTGGCGGTCAACCGTCAACCAGGTTACCGCCGGGACCTCGTAGAGCTCTATCCTTGCACGGCGATCGTCGGAACACATGAAGAAAGCTTCTGGAGCGAGAAAGAAAAAACTCGAAAAATCACGGTTTTCTGTTTTTATTCAACGTCGGTTCCGCCAAGTGTTTTGATAGTAATACTGCACCTACGGACCTGAGAATTTGACTGGCAAACGCGGAATAACCCACTACAGGTGCGAAAAAACTGGTTTCTCAAAATAAATTGTCAAATATCTTTGAAATCTTAGCAAAACCCACCCAAAGTTGTCACATTGTCTCTTTTGGTCGGGTCGGCCAACTAGCTTCACCCCGCGCCGGAATTCCTCTAGCTCATCGCTAACGAAGAGCTCTACGAGGTACTGGGCGCCGGCGGTAAACCGTCAACCTTTCTTACCGCCGGGGGACTCGTAGAGCTTCCTGATATATATATATATATATATATATATATATATATATATATATAACGTCGAAAAAAATTGCAGAAAACGAATAATTTTTCAGCCGAAGCGATTTCAGACCTCTCCATGCACCAGCCAAACGCCCCCGATGCTTCTGGATTGTCTTCTGTACGATCTCTGTAGCTCTCCTACAGCCCAGGTACGTGCGTAAATCGACAGCAATCCTGAAGATGACTCGAACAATACGAATAGTTTGGCAAACCTAGCTCGAGTATCAAACCAAGTTGAGCCCTCTGAATGCGACAGGCGGACACGTCTGATGTCTCCGAATCGACGCCTGTGATTACCAGCCCTGCAGCCCCCCTTCAGCCCGAGTTAAATGCAGAAAACCGACAGCATCTCAGAATAACTCGAACAATATGAATAGTTTTGCAGACCTAGTTCGGGCAGCAGACCGAGTTCTGAGCTGTCGATTCGACAGGCGGACGGGCCTGATATCTTCAAATCGATTCCTGTGACTACCAGCACTGTATCCACCCACAAAGACAGAACACCGACAGCACTTCTCAAGATGACTCGAACAATACGAATAGTTTCGCGATTCTAGAGCGGGCAGCAGACCGAGTTCAGAGCTATAGATTCAACAGACAAACGCGACTGATGACTCTGAATAGGTTTATGTAAGTATTAGCTCTGTAGCTGTCATATAGCTCGAGTTGAGTATAGAGAACCGAGAGCGCCTGTCAAGATGACTCGAATAATACGAATAGGTTTTCAGACCTAGCTCGGCTAGCAGACCGAGTTCAGACCTCTGGATGTAACCGACGAACGTGCCTGATCATTCTGAATCGATAAGGTGTGCTTATCAGCTCTGTAGCTGTCCTGCATCTCGATTTAAGTCTGATATACCGACAGCGCGTATCAAGATGACTCGAAACGGCCAATCCCGCCTGGACGCTTTTTGGCAGTAAAAGGTACCCGATCGAGCTGAGATCAAGATGGCGAGCGGAAATAAGATTGAATATCACGGGAAAAAATACTGGGCGCCGGCGGTAAACCGTCAACCTTTCTTACCGCCGGGGGACTCGTAGAGCTTCCTGACAATATATAATGTTGAAAACAAATTGAAGAGAATACAAAGTTTTTCAGCCCAAGCGATTTCAGACTCTCGATACAACAGCCGAACGCCCCCGATGCTTCTGGATTTTCTTGTGCACGAGCTCAGTAGCTCTCCTGCAGCCCGAGTTACGTGCGTAAATCGACAGCACCTCTCAAGATGACTCGAACAATACGAATAGTTTGGGAAACCTAGCTCGAATATCAGACCGAGTTCAGACCTCTGAATGCGACAAGCGGACGCGTCTGATGTCTCCCACTCGATTCCTGTGATTACCAGCCCTGCAGCCGCCCTACAGCCCGAGTTAAATGCAGAAAACCGACAGCGCCTCTCAGGATGACTCGAAAACTACGAACAGTTTCGCAGAACTAGTTGGGGCAACAGACCGAGTTCCGAGCTCTCGATTCGACAGGCGGACGCGCCTGATGTCTGCAAATCGATTCCTGTCACTACAAGCACTGTAGCCCCCCGTACAGCCCGGGTTAAGTATAGAGCCGACAGCATCTCTCAAGATGACTCGAACAATACGAATAGTTTCGCGATTCTAGATCGGGCAACAGACCGAGTTCAGAGCTCTCGATTCAACAAACGAACGCGACTGATGACTCTGAATCAGTTTCTGTGCGTACCAGTTCTGTGGCTGTCATATAGCTCAAGTTAAGTACAGAAAACCGAGAGCGTCTGTCAAGATGACTCGAATAATACGAATAGGTTTTCAGACCTAGCTCGGCTAGCAGACCGAGTTCAGACCTCCTGGATGTAACCGACGAACGTGCCTGATCATTCTGGATCGATAAGGTGTGCTTACCAGCTCTGTAGCTGTCCTGTATCTCGAGTTAAGTCTGATATACCGACAGCGCGTATCAAGATGACTCGAAACGGCCGATCCCGCCTGGACGCTTTTTGGCAGTAAAAGGTACCCGATCGAGCTGAGATCAAGATGGCGAGCGGAAATAAGATCGAAGATCACGGGAAAAAATACTAGAGCTCTAACGAATGGTTGAGTTTCGAGAAAAAAATTTCAACCGACCAAAAGTCACCAAAAGGTCCGTCGAGATTTTTCTTGCCACCTAGCTCTCCAGCGCCCCGGAATTACTCTTAAGCTTCCAGCAATAGCTTGCTAAGGGAAGCTCTACGAGTTACAAGAGCTCTAACGAATGGTTGAATTTCGAGAACAAAACTTTCAACCGACCAAAAGTCACCAAAAGGTCCGTCGAGATTTTTCTTGCCAACTAGCTCTCCAGCGCCCCGGAATTACTCTTAAGCTTCCAGCAATGACTTGCTAAGGGAAGCTTTCGAGAAGCTCTCTCTTCCGACTGTCAGCTCTCTCACGCGTGGAAAGAGCTCCACGAGGTTCCCGGCGGTGACCAGGTTGACGGTTCACAGCCGGCGCCAGTTACTGGCGCCGGCGGTGAACCGTCAACCTGGTCTTTTGCGTCTTTTGCGAAGGCCGGTTCGAGCTCCCATGGGAGCAGGCCTAAACACAAAGAACCTAAACAGCGAAGCTGTACAGGAAGAGAGGGAAGCTGCAAAGTTTAAAGAAGAGGTGCATCAAACAGCGAGGCTGTACAGATATGCACAAGACTGCCAATACACTAGAATATAACACCAAAACAGTGAGACGCAGTAAGCCACTGGTTTATACAGCGACCACACGAGAAGCAGTGAGAGACCATACAGTAACCACTGGTTTATACAGCGATTACCGTCTCAACACCACTGAGAATGCACAAGGGATTAAAGGTCAGAATGCAGGTAAGAAGTGCAAACTGAATTATGAACACGCACACAAACAGACAAAGTGAATTATGAACAGGCAACATACGGAGTGGATATGCAAATTACAAAATGGATATGCAATGAACTGATAAGTTGGAAGCTCACTGAACTCATGACATTAAACGCGCAATGAACGAATGAAGTTGGAAATTCAACTCAGGAAACTTTCCTTCCAACATCTGTTGAAGCACGCCCAGAAACTTGCATTCAAACATCTGCGAAAGAGACTCGCATTCCATCATCTGCTGAAGAAACGCCTGTCCCAACTGAACCGAGAACTCGGCGCGCATCTTGCAACGTCCATTGGCTGAAATCCTCCTTCCAAAAACTTGCATGCACATGTTCGCCCAGAGTTCTGGGCCCACCTTGCACCACAATGAGGTCTTGCAGGATGCCCTCAACAACGGTATCGCGCGTTGCCCTTTGCCTGGTGAAACCGTGAATTTCTGATATTTCCAATCTGGTACACATATAGAACACACCAAAAAGAATGTCGTGATTGAGGCTATACCCGTAACCGAGCTTCCGGCACTGAGTCTTAGAGGCAACTGGAGTGCCGAACTTTCTGCCCAGACATCTGGCGAGACGAAACACGTTTTGTGACGTGAAGCTCATGCGAAGCATGTCATCTATCGAGTAACTTCGCCCGTGCACTCCAACCTCAATTACGAACTGATCAAACTGCTCGATTTTATCTGGCACCCTAACCTCAGATCGATTCACTCGCGCGCAAGTTGTTGCACTATCCGCTGAAGAGACTCGCATTCCAACCTCCGCATCTTGTTCTGCTGAAGAAACTTGCAATCCAACATCTGCTGAAGAAACTTGCATTCCAACGTCTGTTGAAGCACTCCCAGAAACGTGCATTCCAACATCTGCTGACGAAACATGCATGCCAACATCTTGTTCTGCTGAAGAAACTTGAAATCCAACATCTGCTGAAGAAACTTGCATTCCAACGCCTGTTGAAGCACTCCCAGAAACGTGCATTTCAACCTCTGCTGAAGAAACATGCATGCCAACATCTTGTTCTGCTGAAGAAACTTGCAATCTCACATGTGCTGAAGAAACTTGCATTCCAACGCCTGTTGAAGCACTCCCAGAAACGTGCCTTCCAACATCTGCTGAAGAAACATGCATGCCAACATCTGCTGAAGAAACTTGCGTTCCCACGTCTGCTGAAGAAACTTGCATCGCAACATCTGCTGAAGCACTCCCAGAAACTTGCATTCCAACATCTGCTGAAGAAACCTGCATGCCAACATCTGCAGTAGGAACGTGCATTCCAACAGCTGCCGAAGAAACTGGCGCCCCAACATTTTGCCGAGGGGAAGACTTTGCCAAGCTTGCATAGGGATCTTCCGTCCTGGAACCACTCATTTCATGTTCCTCCTTCCCACAAATGGCATCAAAAAGATAAATCGTACTCCCTGCAGAGAAGCCCGAATGCGCGAGACCACATGAAGCAGATGCCGCCTCCTCTTCCTCCTCCATATCGTCAAAAACAGAAGCTGAGCTACCCTCGGAAGTAGAATCGAGATATCGAAAATATCGGGGAGCATATATCTTCTGCACACAAACGCCCTGCCGCAACTCTGATCCATATTTAATATACCTCGGAGCCACAACTCTGAATTCCAATGCGCCAAACAATGAGATCACGCGCGGCGTCTCTCTGGCTCGCCCCAATTCGGCGACTCTCTTTTGGAGCGTCCTCACTGTTGAGCAAAGCCAATTGACAACTTCTGAAGAAACGACCATATGAGAACAAATAGATACACAAATTCGACAATCAATAAGAGTGTACGGTACTCAGGCAAAACAGACACTGAAGCACCGTGTACGGTAAAGAGAACCAAACGCCAGGCACGGCACGATGCCGCTCGAGGAGGCCTCCGACGGGCCAGGTCGCCGCTGAGATCCCGAGGAGGGACAGCAGCAATCTCGTCCGCCGGCAACCTGGTCACCGCCGGAAATCTCGTAGAGCTCTTTTCACGCAAGCGAGAGCTCAGAGCCGGAAGAGAGAACTTCTGGAGGCATTTCTCGAAAAAATGAACATTCATTTTTTTTCACCTCGACATGAAGTTGGTTCCCCCAAGTGTTTTGATAGTAAATGTGCGCCTACAGAGCTCATATTAAGACGCAGATCTTAGCAAAACCTACCCAAAGTCACCACATTGTCTCTTTTGGTCAGGTCGGCGAACTGGGCGCCAGCGGTAAACCGTCAACCTTCTCACCGCCGGGGGACTCGTAGAGCTTCCTGACAATATATAATGTCGAAAAAAAATTGCAGAGAGCGACTAGTTTTTTAGCCCAAGCGATTTCAGACCTCTCGATGCAACAGCCGAACGCCCCCGATGCTTCTGGATTGTCTTCTACACGAGCTCTGCAGCTCTCCTACAGCCCGAGTTACGTGCGTAAATCGACAGCAACCCTCAAGATGACTCGGACAATACGAATAGTTTGGCAAACCTAGCTCGAGTATCAGACCAAGTTCGAGCCTCTCAATGCGACAGGCGGACGCGTCTGATGTCTACGAATCGATTCTTGTGATTACCAGCCCTGCAGCCCCCTTACAGCCCGAGTTAAGTGCAGAAAACCAACAGCATCTCAGGATGACTCGAACAATACCAATAGTTTCGCGGACTGGGCGCCGGCGGTAAACCGACAGCATCTCAGGATGACTCGAACAATACCAATAGTTTCGCCGACCTAGTTCGGGCAGCAGACCGAGTTCCGAGCTCTGGATTCGACAGGCGGACGCGCCTGATGTCTGCAAATCGATTCCTGTGACTACCAGCACTGTAGCCACCCACAACCCGAGTTAAGTACAGAAAACCCACAGCACCTCTCAAGATGACTCGAACAATACGAATAGTTTCGCGATTCTAGAGCGGGTAGCAGAACGAGTTCAGAGCTCTGGATAGAACAAACAAACGCGACTGGTGACTCTGAATCGGTTTCTGTAAGCATCAGCTCTGTAGCTGTCATATAGATCGAGTGAAGTACAGAAAACCGAGAGTGCCTGTCACGATGACTCGAATAATACGAATAGGTTTGCGGACCTAGCTCGGCTAGCAGACCGAGTTCAGATCTCTGGATGCGCCTGATCATTCTGAATCCATAAGGTGTGCTTACCAGCTCTGTAGCTGTCGTGTATCTCGAGTTAAGTCCAATATACCGACAGCGCGTATCAAGCTCGAAACGGTCGATCCCGCCCGTGTGCTTTTTGGCAGTAAAAGGTACCCGATCGAGCTGAGATCAAGATGGCGAGCGGGAATAAGATCGAATATCACCGGAAAAAATACTAGAGCTCTAACGAATGGTTGAATTTCGAGAACAAAATTTTCAACCGACCAAAAGTGCCACCAAAAGGTCCGTCGAGATTTTTCTTGCCAACTAGCTCCCCAGCGCCCCGGAATTACTCTTAAGCTTCCAGCAATAACTTGCTGAGGGAAGCTCTACGAGTTACTGGGCGCCGGCGGTAAACCGTCAACCTTTCTTACCGCCGGGGGACTCGTAGAGCTTCCTGACAATATATAATGTTGAAACGAAAACTGCAGAGAACAATAGTTTTTCAGCCCAAGCGATTTCAGACCTCTCGATGCAACAGCCGAACGCCCCCGATGCTTCTGCATTGCCTTCTGTACGAGCTCTGTAGCTCTCCTACAGCCCGAGTTACGCGCGTAAATCGACAGCACCTCTCAAGATGACTCGAAGAATAGGAATAGTTGGGCATACCTAGCTCGAGAATCAAACCGAGTTCAGACCTCTGAATGCGACAGGCGGACGCGTCTGATGTCTCCGAATCGATACCTGTGATTACAAGCCCTCCGGCCCCTACAGCCCGAGTTGAGTGCAGAAAACCGACAGCACCTCTCAGGATGACTCGAAGAATACGAATAGTTTCGCGGACCTAGTTCGGGCAGCAGACCGAGTTCCGAGCTCTGGATTCGTCAGGCGGGCGCGCCTGATGTCTGCAAATCGATTCCTGTGACAACCAGCACTGTAGCCACCCTACAACGAGTTAAGCACAGAAAACCGACAGCATCTCTCAAGGTGACTCGAACACTACGAATAGTTTCGCGATTCTAGATTGGACAGCAGACCGAGTTCAGAGCTCTGAATTCGACAAACGAACGTGAATGATGATTCTAAACCCGTTCCTGTAACTATCAGCTCTGTAGCTGCCATATAGCTCGAGTTAAGTACAGAAAGCCGAGAGCGCCTGTCAAGATGACTCGAATAATACGAATAGGTTTGCGGACCTAGCTCGGCTAGCAGACCGAGTTCAGAGCTCTGGATGCAACAGACGAACGCGCCTGATCATTCTGAATCGACAAGGTGTGCTTACCAGCTATGTAGCTGTCCTGTATCTCATGAAGTCCAATATACCGACAGCGCGTATCAAGATGACTCGAAACGACCGATTCCGCCCGTGTGCTTTTTGGCAGTAAAAGGTAACCGATAGAGCTGAGATCAAGATGGCGAGCGGAAATAAGATCGAATATCACGGGAAAAAATACTAGAGCTCAAACGAATAGTTGAATTTGGAGAACAAAATTTTCAACCGACCAGAAGTCACCAAAAGGTCCGTCGAGATTTTTCTGGCCAACTAGCTCTCCAGCGCCCCGGAACTGGGAGCCGGCGGTAAACCAGGTTACCGCCGCGAGCCTCGTTGGGCTCTTTTCTCGCACGGCGCTGCTTAGAACAGGCGGAAGGAGCTTTTCTGATACGCGAGGTGAAAACTCAAAAAAAAAAAATTGTTTTGTCACCGAACGACGGTTCCGCCAAGTGTTTTGATAGAAAAACTGTAACTACGGACCTGAGAATTCATTGGCAGACGCGACACAACCCACTACAGGTGCGAAAAATACCGGTTCTTAAAACAAATGTTCAAATCTCTCACAACTGGCGCCGGCGGTGAACCGTCAACCTGGTCACCGCCAGGAACCTCGTAGAGCTCCTTGCACGCGTAAGAGTGCTCAGGATCGAAGCAGGGAGCTTCTCGGGGCATTTCTAGAAAAAAATCGAATTCACATTTTTCCGCATCCATTTCATGTTGGTCGCTCCTAATTTTCCGATAGTAAAACTGGCTCTAGAGAGCTGAGCTGCTCAGGGAACAAAGTTTATATGCCAATGCTCGGCGTAAAAACCTGCTTTCTCAAAAAGAATTGTCGAATATCTTTCAAATCTTGGGAAAACCGACTCAAATGTGCCACATTGTCTCTTTTGGTCGGGTCGCCCAACTAGCTTCACCCCGCGCCGGAATTCCTCTTAGCTCATCGATCACGAAGAGCTCTACGAGGTAAGTTCGTCCAACTGACCCAAAGTTCTCAGATTGTCCGTCGGGGCCGTGTCGGCCAATGGGAACCGGCGGTAAACCGTCAACCAGGTTACCGCCGGGCCCTCGTAGAGCTCTTTTCTCACACGGCGCTCCTCAGTAAGCATGAAGAAAGCGTCTAGAGCAAGACCTGAGAAACTCGAAAAATCACATTTTTCTGTTTTTATCCAACGTCGGTTCCCCCAAGCGTTTTGATAGTAATACTGCAGCTACGGACCTGAAAATTTTACTGGCAGACGCACCTTAATCCACTACAGGTGCGAAAAATCTGCTCTCAAAATAAATGGTCAAATATCTTTCAAATATTTGGAAAACCACCCAAAAGTTGTCACGTTGTCCTTTCTGGCCGGGGCGGCCAACTGGGCGCCGGCGGTAAAGCGTCAACCTTTGTTACCGCCGGGGGACTCGTAGAGCTTCCTGACAACATATAATGTCGAAAAAAATTACACAGCAAAAATAATTTTTCAGCCCAAGCAATTTCAAACCTCCCGGATGCAACAGCCGAACGCCCCTGATGCTTCTGGATTGTCTTCTGTACGAGCTCTGTAGCTCTCCTACAGCCCGAGTTACGTGCGTAAATCGACAGCACCTCTCAAGATGGCTCGAACAATACGAATAGTTTGGCAAACCTAGCTCGAGTATCAGACCGAGTTGAGACCTCTGCATGCGACAGGCGGACGCGTCTGATGTCTCTGGATCGATTCCTGTGATTACCAGCCCTGCAGCCCCCCTACAGCCCGAGTTAAGTGCAGGAAACCGACAGCACCTCTCAGGATGACTCGAACAATACGAAAAGTTTCGCGAACCTAGTTCGGCAGCAGACAGAGTTTGGAGCTCTCGATTCGAAAGGCGGACGCGCCTGATGTCTCCGAATCGATTCCAGTGATTACCAGCCATGCAGCCCCCCTACAGGCCGAGTTAAGTGCAGAGAACCGACAGCATCTCTCAAGATGACTCGAACAGTACGAATAGTTTCGCGATTCTAGATCGGGCAGCAGACCCAGTTCAGAGCTCTCGATTCAACAGACAATGGCCACTGATGATTATGAATCAGATTCTGTACGCATCAGCTCTGTAGCTGTCCTGTAGCTCGAGTTCAGTACAGAAAACCGAGAGCGTCTGTCAAGATGACTCGAATAATACGAATAGGTTTGCGGACCTAGCTCGGCTAGCAGACCGAGTTCAGACCTCTCGGCTCAACAGACGAACGCGCCTGATCATTCTGAATCGATTAGCTGTGCTTACCAGCTCTGTAGCTGTCCTGAAGCTCGAGTTATCTTGAGAAAACCGTCACCGCGTGACAAGATGACTCGAAACGGCCGATCCCGCCCGTGTGCTTCTTGGCAGTAAAAGGTACCCGATCGAGCTGAGATCAAGGTGGCGAGCGGGAATCATATCGAATATCACGGGAAAA